CGGAAGCAAACCTCGCACAACTGAGATGGCCTACTCATCATCCTCGCCACCCTCGCCATCCTCACCACCTTCCTCCTCTTCCTCCTCGTCTTCGTCTTCGTCATCCTCGCCCTCATCGCCCAAGAACTTCCTCCGCTGCTCTTGGGCATCGAGCTCCTCCTGCTCATCGGGATGGTACTCTCCAAAAGCAGCAATTCTATCTGCCACGCTGGGCGCGCGACCGACACGATCGGCAATCTGTCCGCGTCCAATCAAGCTGATCACAATGCTGCTGCCGACGACGAAGGTGAGCACGAAGCGGTAGATTCCATACCAGGCCGGGGCCCAGCCGCGAGTCTTGGCGCGAACATCGGTGTAATAAAGGAAGTTGAATGCGAGGAACTGCGTGATGAGCGCGTACTCGACGGGCAGCAAGATGGTGGGCCAGGCCACGGCGGTGCTGACGACGCCAATCATGTAGCGAGGGTAGCCCTGAGTGCCACCGTATTGAGCCCATTCGAGACCCCAATGGATGGCGCCGAGGAAGGAGAGGATCTGTCAGAGGGTGTTAGGTCGGTAGGTGGGGGATGCTGGGCTGCAAGATGACATACCACGGCACCGTATCCAACTTGCAAAGGCTCGATGATGTGAAGGAGGTCTTCGGCAGAACGCTCGGTCAAGAACAAGCCCGTGCCGGTGGCAGTGGCGTGGTTGATTTCCCAGGCGCAGTACACGGTACTAAGAGACGTGACCATGTAGGGGACCACACCAGCCAAGCCCATGTAATACGCCTGTTTTGGCACCTCCTCGAGGCTGAAAGTTTCACGGATGGTGGCCTGGGAAACGAACAAGTCAGTTGACGGGCTGGAATGAGAACTAGAGGGTCGCGCAAGTAGACCTACGATATCGTGCATTACGCCGGCCATCATCTGCGGCTCTTCATCGTGGGCGGGGGATGCGGTCGACATTTGGCCACTTGTAGGAACGACGGTGGAAGATGTCGACACTTCGCCCGGGGTGACGGGCAGCTTCTGCTCCTGGATCTGCTGTTCCCTCTTCTTGTCAATTTGATCGAAAGCGCCGCTGCGGTCGCTGGAGCTGGCACCGCGAGTCCAGCACAAGGCCTGCGGGGCCAATGGCTTGGCCATGGAGAGGGCTTGTGGTCGGCGCGAGAGAGTGCATAGTTGCGAGCGGAGAGACTGACGGATGGGGGCGTTGTTGGCCTTGAACGCCGAGGTGGAGGCGGAGGTCAGCGAGCGCGCGAGTGCGCGAGACGGGGCGGCAGCACGCAGCATGGTGACCGTCGTTGCCCCTGAGAACCAGCAAGGGAGGGCAAAGGCGGCCAAGAGGTGAGGTTGGGGTGGGATCGAGGGTGGTGGGAGGGAGTGGAGAGGGTGGTAGAGGTGGTGGTGGTGGACGAGGAGGAGGCTTGCTTGCTGCTGGCAGGAAGCGGGAGGTTTTTCGGGCTCGAGCTCGGCCGGCTGTTTCCGCCAATGGCTGCCTCAGGCACCACACGACCGCTCTTGCCTCGTCGAGTCTTGATGTCGCGACTGCCGCCTGAATTACACACACGTGAGGCCTCACTCGACCGTCGATTCAACTGCATGTGTCTTGCAACTTGTCCGTTCGGATGTGATTCAAGCTCTGCAAGGCTACATGCACAGAACGCCCGACGCCTTGTACTGTAGCTTGACGACTGGACTGCAGCTTGGCTGTCGGTACGTCATCCGCTACACCTCCTGCTCATCAGCCACGTAGCGAGCGCGGGGAGCGCGCCACACACACACCCACCTCATCTAGCCTCGAAGCATCCAACTTTTTTTCCATCATCACTCCTTCCTCGTTGGTTTCCTGGGTTGAGTCCCTGCTTTTGACCACGACAATCCTCCCTTCCTTCGCCATTGCTCTGCCCGACTGCTGCGTCCCGCAACAATTTCCCCACTGCGATTCCAGCCTTACCATCCTCCATCCTGCCCTTCTACGGCCTCCTGCCACCCTCACGCGCTCCGCATGGCCTAAAGAAGAACGTGACATGAGATAACGCCAGACACGACACTTGCAACACCTCCCGGCCCGGGTAACGGCAACACAGCGCCACGATGTTGGAAGGGCTCGTGGCAAACCTTCTGAATCGCTTCCTGGGCATGTATGTCCGCAACTTCGACCCAAAGCAGCTCAATGTCGGCATTTGGAGTGGGGATGTCAAGCTGCGAGACCTGCAACTGAAGCGAGAAGCCCTCGACCAATTCCATCTCCCCCTCAACGTCATCGAGGGGCACATCAGCTCCCTCGTTCTGCAGATCCCCTGGAGCAACTTGCGAGGCAAGCCCGTGCGCATCAACATTGAGGATGTCTTCCTTCTCGCCGCTCCAAGGGAGGATCAGGAGTACAATCCGGAAGATGAGGAACGGCGAGCACATGCGGTCAAGATGGAGAAGCTGGACTCGGCCGAGCTTTTGAAAGAGCGGAATACGGAAGGCATGAGCGCGGAAGAACAGCAGAAGCAGCAGTCCTTCACCGCCGCCTTGACGACGACCATTATCGACAACGTCCAGATCCAGGTGAAGAATGTCCACATCCGCTACGAGGATAAGCTGAGCGACCCGGGCCACCCATTTGCCGCCGGCCTCACGTTGCAAGAGCTCAGTGCAGTGAGCACGGATGAAAATTGGCGGCCGACCTTCATCGGAAGCACGAGCAGCACCACCCACAAGCTTGCTACGCTTGGCTCTCTCGCAGTCTACTGGGACACTGACACGGAACTGCTTGGAGGCGCTGCGGGCGAAACAAACGCGACCGAGCAAGCCGTGGACCGGCAAGACCTTCTCACAAAGTTCCGCGACATGATTGTGCAGGGGGACAGTCCGGCGGTCAACGATCACCAATTCATCCTGAAACCCGTCTCTGGTCGTGCGGGCCTTGAGATGGATAAAACTGGCAAGACCGATCGCGCAAAGATGAAAGCCAGGTTGTTGTTCAACGAGCTTGGTTTTGTGCTCGACGAGACGCAGTATCGCGACTTGCTCATGCTCGTGGACCTCTTTCACTATTTCATCCGGCATCAGGAGTATCGCAAGTATCAGCCGGCCAAGTCTCCCAAAGAGGATCCCCGAGCCTGGCTCCATTTCGCCGGCAAGGCGGTGCTGGACCGAATACACGATCGAAACAAGCAATGGTCATGGGCTTACTTCGCCGAGCGCCGAGATGACCGGAAAGCGTACATTGCGCTGTTCAAGAAGAAAAAGAAGGAAGAGAAGCTCACGGCAGACGAGACCAGGGAGCTCGACCGATTGGAGCACAAGGCGGCATACGAGGATCTGCGCTTTTGGAGATCACTCGCGCGCAACGAGCTCCGCCGAGAAAATGTGGTCCAGAAGCCGCAAGAAAAGGCTACCTGGGGCAGCTATATCTGGGGTTGGGGAAGCAGCGGTAGCAAACAACAGCAGGCTTCCGATGATAGCCAGATGACCGAAGAGCAACGCAAGGAGCTCTATCATGCCATCGATTTTGACGAGAAGAAAAGCATCGCCGAGAGTGTCGATATGCCAAAGGAGGCTGTCAAGCTGCAGGTCGACATGCATCTCAAGACTGGCTCTTTCACACTGAGACGCGATCCCCACGGGAAAGTGGCGGACATCATCCGCTTGCTGTTCGATGATTTCAGCACCGAGCTTACGCAGAGGACGGATTCGACGCGCTTGGATCTAAGCCTAGGAGGCATGCGACTTTATGACGGCTCAACCGAGGGCAATCTCTACGAGCAGATGTTGCGCGTCAAAGATGCACCACCGGTGCCAGATGGCCAACGAGTGCAAGAACTCGGAGAAGACGGCAAACCAATGACTGTTGGCACTGACGAAGACGGAGCGGATGAAGAGGGTGACGAAGAGCAAGATCCCTTCTTCAGCATGGAGTTCGAGAAGAATCCACTTGATGGACGAGCCGACTCCGCGCTTACGGTCAAGCTCAAAGCGATGGAGATCATCTACAATCCCAACTTTGTGGTGCAAGTGACGAACTTCTTCAAACCGCCCGAGAAGCACATGGAATCAATCGGTGCACTCATGGAGACGGCCGGCTCCACGGTCGAAGGCTTACGGCAGCAAACTCGAGCCGGGCTCGAATATGCCCTTCAAGAGCACAAGACTGTCGATGTTCAGCTAGACTTGCAAGCTCCGCTCATCATTGTGCCCGACTCGGTCACCCAAAAGAGCTCCATCTGCTTGATCCTCGATGCCGGTCACGCCTCCGTGCGAAGCGATCTCATAGACCGAAAGACCCTGGACGACATCCAGAACAAACAGAAGCAACAGTACACCGAGAAGGATTTCCAAAAGCTCGAATCTCTCATGTATGATAAGTTTGTACTGAAATTGGATTCAACGCAACTCCTCATCGGCACCACTGTGGATGAGACAAAGGCACAGATCGACGAGAAGGCTTCGGACAAGAATTTCCATGTCGTCGAGCGGATCAACATGGACTTCACCATCGAAACTTGCATCGTGCCCAGGGCCACGGACCTGACCCGATTTCGCATCAAGGGACACTTGCCAATGCTCCGCGCAATTTTGTCGGATGCGAAATATAAGTCCCTGATGAGATTGCTGGACGTTGCAATCCCCAAATTCAACGATGTCAAGGCGACGGCCGCAGACACACAGACCTCGGAGGAAGCGAAAAAGTCCTCAAAGAGGAAGAGTCTGATTCCCGATAGTGTCGGACGGGCGAGGGCGAAATCGATCCAAGCGGCACGCGATGACCTCGTCCTGGACGAGGAAGTCGGGGAGGAGACGTCCAAGGCAGAACGACAACAGCGCGTTGGGCCTTCTGCGAGTAAAGGTGACAAGAAACAAGCACAAGTCAATCCAGAACAGCGGAATTTCGACTTTCAGTTCACTGTCGACAAGTTGCAAGGCTCGCTATACCGCTCTGATCCCGAGGGCAAGGCAGCAGACCAGCTGCTCGTCGACCTCATCGCCGAGACATTTTATTTCGAATTCTATCAACGCGCATTCGACATGGCCGCCGACGTCAAGCTGAAGACTTTCACGCTCGAAGATCATATCGAGCAAGCTCCGTCACCGGAATTCAAGAACCTGATCTCAAGCGAAGACCTGCTCTCCAAAGAGAAGGGTGACCTACTTACTGTGCACTTTTTGAAGGTCAATCGCGATCATCCAGAGTTTGAGAAGCGATATGAGGGTATCGCAACGAATTTGGATGTCGCTGTCTCCACCATCAACCTAATGGTCACTCGAAAAACACTGCTCACACTCCTGGATTTCGTGATGCTCACCTTTGCAAGCGGTGATGGGCAGCAATCGAAGAGGGAAGAGGCTCCCAAAGCTGTTGCGGATGAATCTGATGTGCCTCAGAAGCAGCCCGAGCAAGTCGACAAGATCCGGATCAAAGCCAATCTCCGACGCATCGCCGTGATTCTGAACAATGACGGCATTCGTCTGGCGACCCTGAGCTTGACCTCTGCCCAGGTCTCTGTATTCCTGATGGGCAATTCAATGCAGGTTGGTGCACGCCTGGGCAACCTCACTTTGCTGGACGACATCAACCAGGGCGTGGCGGAGGAGTCTTCTCTTCGCCAACTGGTCTCGATTCAAGGCGACGACCTGGCTGACTTCCGCTACGAGACGTTCGACCCTAAAGCTGCCTCGTATCCTGGGCACGATAGCATGATCTACTTGCGCTCAGGCTCCATCAAAGTCAACTTCGTTACCGAGCCATTCCGAAAAATCATGGAGTTTGGCGTCAAATTTGGCAAGATGCAGGCCATCTTCAACGCCGCGAGACAGGCTGCAGCAAACCAAGCCAGCAAAGTGCAGGAAAATACTGGCAAGATGCACTTCGACGTGATCATGAAAACACCAATCATCGTCTTCCCGCGAATGGTCATCACTGACGATCCGGAACGGGATCTGGTGACGGCCTACCTTGGAGAGATCTACGCAAGCAATCAGTTCGAGCCTCTCGACGGTGGTTTGACCGCGAACAAGCTGTCTGCTGGAATCCACAACATCCGGCTCACATCGGTCTTCCACTACTCTGACAAGACATCAGAGGAACTGGAGATGATAGACAAGGTGAACCTTGATTTCAACATCGTACAGACCGAACACACGCATGGTGTTGAGCGGCCGGACATGGAAATCGAGGGCTCCATGAGTAACATCAATCTTCGAGTGACCGAATCACAACTCAAATTCATGATGGAGCTTTCACGGAACATTCCAGAGGCCTTTGCTTTGGAGTCTGATGAATCGGTTGAAGAAGAGGTCGAGGAAGATCTGCCGGATGGTCTTGTCAAGCGAGCGGAGACGGCACAGTCCACGGATGACAAGACCGCGTTGACAAATGGAGAGAAATCGGAGCCCGCACATCAGGGCCCGGAGCTCGGCGACGGCAAAAACACCTGGACCAAGCTCGATCTCATCTTCAAAGTGGGCGCGATTGGACTCGAATTGATTCACGGTCAACTTGACGAGCCGATTGGCGACCTCGAAGCCGCCAGCCTATCGAAGTTCTCGCTCAATGAGACCAGCGTAAAACTGCGAATGATCAGCGATGGTGCCATGGAGAGCGAATTGTTGATCCAATCATTCACCATTACCGACACCAGAACGAAAGAGAAGAATAAATTTCGAAAGATCATGTCTTTGATCAATTCGGACGTCAAGCAACAGTTCATGGCCAGTGTCTCCATCTCCGGAGGACAGCAGCGGAATCTCATTGCGTTGCTCACCATCGACAGTCCGCGCATTGTCGTAGCTCTCGACTACGTTTTCGAGGTGCTCGCATTCATCAACGCTGGCTTGGCACAAGATGATCCCTTACTCCTCGACGATGAGAGTGAGGATAAGTCCGATGATGCCGACGATGCAGTCAGCGATCATACCCTCGACGTTGCCGAGCAAACGGGGGAGACCGCAAACGATACGCCGGACGCCGAGGGCAACGGGTTGAGCATATCGTTCCGTGTCGACATAGTAGACGCACAAGTTATGCTCATCGCCAACCCAGCCGTCAGCCATTCGGAAGCTATCGTGCTAGGCACCAAGCAGGTCCTCGTGTCAAAGCAACAAGCCATGACGTTGCAGGTGGAAAAGGTAGGCATGTTCCTCTGCCGAATGGACAAATTCGAAAGCAGTCAACTTCGCATCTTGGATGATTTCAGCGTCCAGACGTCAGTCGACATGAAATCGCAAGGCCAAGACTCCTCGCTCACCAGCATACACGTGGAAATTGAACCACTGGTTCTACGGTTATCACTGCGTGATATCATGCTTGCAATGCAGATCTTCAACAAGGCCTCGGATATGTCGATCAACCAAGATCAGAAGATGCACGACGAAGGCCCGAAGAAACTCGCGCAGGTGAAGGCCTCAACAAAGTCAGTCAAGACAAAGGGCGATCGCTCCACGAAGAAGGCTGTCGGCAGCACCACGCAGAGAGCAGCTGCGCAGACAATCAGCACTACGAAGTCCGCACCGAAGAAGGAGGCAGAGAAGCAGCCACTGGGATCCGCTGTGCTCAAACGGGAAGAGATGAAGGTTCAAATGGATGGCATCCGCGTTGTCCTTATTGGAGACCTTCACGAACTTCCAATACTCGATTGGAGTGTGAAGAAATTCGCCATCGATGTTCGGGACTGGACAGGCAATCTGACCGCTGACACCAGCGTTGACACCTTCTTCAATGTGTACAACTTTTCCAAGTCAGCCTGGGAACCGCTCATTGAGCCATGGACTATTGGCTTTCACATGGCAAAGGAGACCAATCCTGACCGATTGGCAGTGGAGCTGTATTCGAGAAAGTCTCTCGAGATTACCGTCACATCTGCGACGATCGCCCTCGCCTCGAAATCCGCGCGCTTCTTTTCGTCCGACGAGGACGTGCTGTCCAAGCCGAGAGGAAATGACGCGCCGTATCGCATTCGCAACTACACTGGTTTTGAGGCCAATGTGTGGTCTGCGGGAGATAACGACGAGGACGGAGCAGCGGCCAAATTGGAGGACGGGGAAGAAAAGCCCTGGCGATTCGAGGATCCCACAACGACTCGCGAAACCTTGTCTCCCGAAGGGCAGTCTGGTGTCATTGGCATTCGTCTGGAGGGTAGTGGATTCGACAGCGTTGACCGCATTCAGGTCAGCCGTGAAGGGGAATCACTGTACAACCTCAAGCCGCGCAAGGACAAAGTGCAGCACCGGCTGCTTGTGGAAATCACACTGGGAACTGACAATGTGAAGTACATCACCCTCCGATCGCCCTTGGTCGTGGAGAACAACACTCAGATACCCGTGGAGATTGGCGTGTTCAGCCCCGAGGAAGGTCACCTGTTGAAGATTGAGAAGATTGCACCGGGCGAATCCCGGCCAGCCCCGGTGGGCGCAGCGTTTATGCACTCTCTCGTGGTCCGGCCAGATCAGGGGTTCGGGTACACATGGTCGAACGAACGGCTCTTTTGGAAAGATCTGCTCAAACGCCCAACACGCACACTCACTTGCCAAGGAGAGCAGGACAACAACTCTCCGCCTTTTTACTTCCAGTTGCAGGCGGTGTTTGACAAAAACAATCCCTTGACCAGGTATGTCACATGTGAGGTTAATGCAATCGAGATACTGACATGTGCGCAGCATCTACCCCTACCAACGACTACGGCTCTCTGCCCCTGTTGAGATACAGAATCTTCTGCCGTACGACTTCAAGTATCGAATCTACGACAAGACAACCAAAAAGGACTGGACAAATTTCCTTCGCAAGGGCGGCGTCAGTCCTGTGCATGTAGTGGAGCTGTCTCATCTTCTGTTGATGAGCGTCGACATGCAGGATACACCCTTCAAAGCAAGCGATTTCGCAATCATCAACTCCGGCAACGAGGGCGACTTCCGCAGGGAGAAGGTCTTGGCAGTCAAGGACAACAGCAACCTCGAGCTGCGGCTGAAGATTCACTACTACAACATCCCAGACAGTGGAGGCGCGTTCAAGATCACCATCTACAGTCCGTACGTCATTCTCAACCGCACCGGCCTCGAACTCGACATCCGAAGCAAGGCGTACTTTGGCTCCACAAAGTCTGCTGCTGGCCAGGCCACCTTTGCGGACACCGAAGACGACGCACGGCGAGCCGCACCCTTCATGTTTTCCTATCCCACCGATGACCGCAGAAACCGAGCCTTCATCAAAGTGCGCGGATCCGGCTGGAGTCAGCCGGTCAGTTTCGACGCGATTGGCGCTGCCGTAGATGTCAAGCTTCCGGCGGAGACTGGAAGGTCGGAGATGCATGCAGGGCTCATCGTCGAAGAGGGAGAGGGCAAGTACAAATTGACGAAAGTGGTCTCCGTTGTGCCCAGATTCCTGGTGAAGAACAAGCTCTCGGAGGACATCCAGATCCGCGAGCCCGGCTCTTCCGACGCGACGACGCTGAAGCCCGGCGAACTGCATCCATTGCGCTTCCTCAAGCAGACCACAGGTCAACAGCTTAGTCTTTGCTTCCCTGGTGTCAATAACCAGTGGACCTCACCTTTTGACATTGCCAACACTGGAAGTGTCCATATCAAGATTGCCCGGGCTGGGGAGAGACAAAAGCTCATTCGAATTGAGATTCTCATGGAAGCCGCAACAATCTTCCTCCATCTCAGCATGGAAACGAAGCATTGGCCATTCTCGATACGCAACGAAAGCAGCCAGGAATTCCTCTTCTGGCAAGCCAATCCCAACGTAGACGAAGACGAGGAAGATCGTAGCTCGGGATGGAAGCCGATTCGCTATCGACTACCGCCGCGGAGCATCATGCCATACGCCTGGGACTATCCCGCATCGAAGAACAAGAATCTGATCCTGAGCGCGGCGGGTAAAGAGCGGCATGTCAAGCTGGCGGAGATTGGAAATCTCATCCCCATGCGACTTCCTCCTTCGCCTGGATCCCAGCGGCAGCGAATCGTGGACTTGAATGTCATCGCGGACGGGCCGTCACAAACGCTGGTCATGTCTGACTTCAAGCAGTCCAAGAGCATCTACAAGCAGAAGCCTTCATCCGCGGCGACTGCTTCCACCACCAGCGGCTTCGAGGTCAAAGACCAGGATGACGATGTTACAATGCGTGCTAGCATTCGCCTCGCGGGAATAGGCCTCTCCCTGGTGAATTCGCAGCTTCGCGAACTCGTGTATGTCACGTGGCGAGACATCGAACTCAAGTACACAGACTCCAAGCTCTACCAAAAGGTCGCGGCGACCGTCAAGTGGATACAGATCGACAACCAGCTATACGGGGGCATCTTTCCCTTAATCGCCTACCCCAGCGTCGTTCCCAAGACTGGAAAGGAGATGGAAGCACATCCAATCTTCCGGACGGTCATCACCAGGGTCAAGGACGATTCGTATGGCGTTTTGTACATCAAATACTTCACCATTCTCCTTCAGCAATTGACGATCGAGATCGACGAAGACTTCATCTTCGCGCTGCTGGACTTCACCAAGGTGCCAGGAGCGTCGTGGACCGAGGAGGCGGAAGGCCGATTGGCGCCGGAGACACTCGACATCCCTGAGCCCCAGCAAGAGCAGTCCGGGCAGGACATTTACTTCGAGCTCCTTCAATTGCAACCGATGCAATTCGACCTTTCCTTTGTCCGAACCGAGCGCATCAACGCAGAAGACACGGGCAGCTCCTCCACCAATCCCTTCATGTTTGCGGTGAACGTCTTGACAATGTCCATCGGCAACGTCAACGACGCCCCCATTCGCTACAATGCGCTTATGTTGGAGAATGCAAGAGTCTCGGTGGGCACGCTCATTAATAACATCAAGAGTCACTATGTGCAAGAATCCCTGGGGCAGCTGCATATCGTCATTGGCTCGGCAGACTTCCTCGGCAACCCGGTGGGCCTGTTCAACAACATCAGCTCTGGCGTCGCAGATATATTCTACGAACCGTATCAGGGATTGGTGACCGAGCGGCCACAAGATCTCGGCGTTGGCATCGCCAAAGGAGCCAGCAGCTTCGTCAAAAAGAGTGTATTCGGCCTCTCGGACAGCGTTTCCAAGTTCACGGGAAGCATCAGCAAAGGTCTTGCGGCAGCCAGCATGGACAAGGAGTTCCAAGACCAGAGGCGCATGTCACGCGCTCGCAACCGACCTAAGCACGCGTTGTATGGTATCACGTCGGGCGGCAACGCTTTCGCAAGCAGTCTCGCGAGCGGAATCGGCGGGCTGGCGAGACAGCCCATGCAAGGCGCGGAGAAAGAGGGTGCCGCAGGCTTTGTCAAAGGTGTTGGGAAAGGCCTGCTCGGACTCGCGACGAAGCCGGCCATCGGTGCATTCGATCTTGCTTCCAGCATGGCGGAAGGGGTGAAGAATACCACCACCGTTTTCGATCAAGAAGGCCTGGACCGCGTGCGTCTCGCACGTTTCATTGGCATAGATGGGGTCGTCCGCCCCTATAGCCAACGCGAGGCCCTCGGTCAGTTCTGGCTCAAGACCATCGACAACGGCAAATACTTCAACGAGAACTACATTGCCCACCTGGAGTTGAACTCTGGCTCTCAGGGCGACAGACAAGAGGGTCGGAACCAGCAGTCCGAAGCATCGATGCTGGTCATGATCACATACAATGCCATTATGCTGGTCCGCGCTAGGAGGCTCACCAGCGAATGGGAAGTGCCTCTGAAAGACATCCAGACGATCAGTAAGGAGCGCACGGGGATGAGCATCGTTCTCAAAGGCGGCACCAACGGTCCGTTCATTCCAATTGCGGATGAGGCGAGTCGGAATTGGCTGTACAAGCAAGTGGCGATCGCGGTCAACGCATACAACGACAAGTGGAATGCCAAGGGATAGAATGTAAGGCAATTGTGACTTTACGATGCAACGGCAGCACATTTGCAAGGCGCAGTGGGAGTTTGTTTGCATTCTAGGTGGCTTGAGGCGGGACCCTACGCGATGCTGAGGGCGAGTGGTTCAATCTCCATAACACGCATTCATGCATTAGTGTTACTACAACAATACAAGTGATGCATCTCCTATGCATATCGGTCGTAGGCTCGTTCACTGTAACAATTTAGGTATGGCCTTCGTGATTTACCTCCTCCCCTCCCCCGACGCTGAGACCCATGTTCGAAACGCCTCGCTATGCCTGAACATCGTGCGGAGTCTGCGGAAACGTGAAATGTGCGCTCGATCAATCATGCAAAATAACTCTTCCAAAGAACACCCTCCAGGTCTTCCAGCTGCTCGGGTGTGAATGCCTGCGAGGGTTATGTCAGCTAAAGTAGAGGCAGTGAAGCGATTAACAAAGAACTCACCTTGACGTCGATTTGCCACGTGTCCTGTCGTGTCTTCTTGAAGTCGCTCAAGATTGCCTTGACGCTCTTGCCCACCATCCCTGAATCGCTTGCTGCGCGTCCGGCGAGGGTCGCCAGCACTTCGGGCAGCCACTCTGGTGGAGGTGAAGTGTAGGGGAAAGCTTGTACCAGAGCACCGAGTCCTATCACCGCGGCGTGACGGGCCAAGACCAATTTGTTCTGCTCCTGGGTCGGCGTGCTGGTGCCAGTATTTGCCCCGGGCTTCCTCTTTGGGAGAGGATTGTCGGCCAGGAGCTTGGTGAAGTAGGACTTCAGCTCCGATATCTTTTCATTGCGAAAGGCGACCGGTGAGCATCGCACCATCCCACTCAACGTTGCCTGGGCTCCAAGCCGGACTTCGAGTTGGGAGTCGTGTAGCATCTCGCGTACGCACACAAACAGATCGTTTGATTCCTTGCGCGGCATCAGGAAGAGCATACGGAAGTATATCACCTGCATATTGATGAGGACGCGAAGGCGTTGGTGCCAGGACGGCGACTGCTTTCCGATCTTGATGAGCGATGCCACGAACGCCTCCTCCTCTCCAGCACGATGCGGAATGTTGGACAGATGGCGGAAGACGTGATACGCCAGGCTTTGCAATTCCGGGTCTTCCTTGATGTCCATCATGTGCAAAGTCTGCTCCATGAGCCCGTGTGGAAAGAAGGGAACGAGGACGGTGCAGTCATAGGCCGACAGCGAAGTATCCAGCCAGAGTAACACGGTCTTGCTCGCCTGAGTGTACGGAGTGGGGGTCTGGATGCCTGGCGGCCGCTCCTTGCGCCACGCCTCGAGTCTTTGAAACACATCCTGCACGATACTGGTGAACTCCGCGGTGGGAGTATATGGTCGCTTGCCCACGCTGGATGCTGCCCGTTGATCTTCGAGCAGAGCAGGAATGTCCCGGTAGGATTCGTGGTGCCTGGTACGGAAGATGGTGCTCAGAGTGGTCCCGATGACTTCTCGCACGCCTTTGTACGGATGGTCGAGGTGTGCAAGGAAGTCCTGGACAATCGACCCGTCCAGCTGGAAGTGCCACCCTAGCGCTGCAATGACCAGCTGTAGCAGAGTAATCTTGGAACTCTCTTTGAAAGCGGCATTGGTGTCCATGTCGAGTCTGAAGCTAGCGAGCCAGTCAACCAGCGGCCAGGCGCGCCGTGGATCCTTTCCACCGACGACCAGTGTCACGAACGTCGCCCAGTAGGAGCTGTTTTCCGGGGTCAGGCCATCGCTGAAGATCCGGCGCAGCATGGGGAATGCGAACGACCAGATCTCTTCGCGAAGGCTGGGCTTGAAGTCTTCGGAGCTACTAATGAGCGCGCCCATGATCTCGGCCATCGCGCGATGCTGATGTTTGTCGCTTCCATCGCCATATACGGCTTGGGTGAGATCCTTGAAATCGGCGAACGTCGCCACGGTCAATTCATCAGCCAGCAGATTCATCACATAGGCGACGATCATAGAGCTATGCATCCTGAACCGGTCGGCATGCTGGTCACGGGGTTCTTGCTTCATGTAGCCGAAATAGGTCGAAAGCCAGCGACGGTCAATGTAAGATCCGATCTTCTTGCGTACCGCCTGTTCTGTTTCGTCGTACTCCAGCTTGGTCTCTCCTGTCTGAGAAGCACGCAAGGTCTTCTGCCACACGAGCCATCCAGGGAAATCGGCGTCGATGTATACATCCGCCTCAGGTTTAGCAAAGGCTGCTAAATATCTCTGTGTCCACGCCGGATCGTCTCGCTCCGTTGAAATTACCGTTTCATCCGGATCATGCTGCTCATCAAGCAGATAGTTTTCATACGAATGTCCGTTGAGCGCTCTTGTTCCAATCAAGCTGAAGATTGCATTCAGAGAGGTGGCGTAGAGTGTTCGGAGCTGGGGGTGAGGATCAATGACACCGAGCGCAACGAGCTCTAGCATTGAAGGTGAGGCGATAGTCTCGAACCGATAGTCCAGACCGACGGCCATGACGGCAGTCCTGCTCGCCTTCTTCCAATGCGACTGCTTCACCATCTGTATGAGCTCGGCGGCGAGTTCGGATTTCTTCCTCTCAATTACGGCACGACGTCTCTTGATTTTGGTCTTCTTGGGCGGCACCATAGAGTTGGCGTCTTCGATGGTTCGCGCAACGGTGCGGGACTCGGCGACAGCGTCTGGCCAGATCGCACGGAGAGTTCCTTCGTCCAAGATCACCATTCGGTCCAAGGCGGGTGTCATGCCCTGGATTGTAAAGCTACTCGAGGCCACGAGCTTTTGAATGCTGGGGCGGTCCGCCTCACTGACGTCCACAAAGAGTCGAATCATCCGTGGTGCAAATCGCCAGTTCCGGCTGATGGCCTTTGCAAGGCTGCCAAACAGCAGAGAGAACATGGCACCTTTGATCCGCGGATCATCACCCTTGTGCAGCGCATCCTCGAGCGCATCGAGCAGTGGAGGAATGATGAGAGACTTGGCGCCAATGATGCTTTTGACAGCTTGTTCTCCAGCAGACTGCGCCGTCCTTCGAATATCGGTGTAGATGGATGTGCTGGAATGCGCAAGATCCAGCAGTAAGGTCTTGTCTAGCTCTGATGCTGCCCTCGGAGTCTCGTTGAATCGCAATCGCTGGAAGTGGTAGAGATTCGCTCTTCTGACCAGGAGTGGTCGCGGATACTGCTTCCTCGTGCCAGAGAACTTGAACGGATGGATATCAGCACTCAGCAGCCGAGTGAGACGGTCCAACACGTGTGCCGATCTTTCGATGCCGATGTCCACAAACCAGCTCTTATATGCGGTGTACAGAGCATTGAAGCAAGCCACGTCATCCTCCTGGTTATGGATGAGGAAGTGGTGCACCCGGTGCAGGGTCTCTCCCACAGTCTTGCGGAACTGGTGCACGGCTTCGTAGTGTGGGCTGCCAATCTCCAGGGGATAGCCAGTTGGGTAGTGGAAAGTCCGCTTGACCTTGTCATCATCTGGCTCATTGAGGTCCATATCGTGCTCCTGAGAGTCCTCGCTCTCCATCTCCACTTGGCCACTCTCATCAACATCGACAAAAGTATACGGAGTAACTGTCCCATCATCGGAGCGGAACAGCCGCGAAAGCCCAGAGATGATGAGGCGGAGCAGAACGAGGTTTCTCGAGACTTCGTCGGACCAGTCCTTCCCTACACCGTCTCGTTTGATTGGGGCGGTATCGGAGATGAGGTCGTTGAGAGCTTTCAAGGCTCGACCACCTTGCGCTTCGGAAACCTTCGTTGCGAACTCGAGCTCTGCCTGGGTAGGGGTATGCCAGCGGATGTCCAATGTTGTAGGGTCCACAATGCGACCCCATGATTCCGAGGAAAGGCCATTCTGGAATTCTCCCGGGTTGAACAGGCTGTAATCCATGGTGTAAGTCACCGTCAGGTTGAGCAGGAGGTGATGCACAAAGTTGCTGACGTGAACAAGTGGAATCCCCTTGCAGGTGTCCTGCATGTAGTTCGCAATCTCAAAAAGATCCTCTTTGAATTGCAGAACGTCGTCTCCCACGTGAACGACGCACATGCTCAGGAGTGAAACATGCCACACAAGCGCTCGGTCTCGGGGGAGGATCTCGCTGCCTGTCGTCCTGGTCGATCCTGCACCAATGTCCCCAATTTCGGTTCGGATACCCGCGATAAGCTCCGGCAGTAGTCTCTCGAGAGCCTTCTTCGGCGAGATCTTGACGAGTGCATTGCAAATGAAGGCCATTGCGTCTCGTGCTTGATGTACAACATGATTCGAGATGAAGCGAGCAACTTGTTCGAGAGCTATGTCGTAAAGCTCGGGGCTTAGGCTGGCCAGAAGAGGACTGAAGGTGGCCGGCAGAGTGTTGACCACATTCTCCTCTGGGCTACCGCTCTTGACCTTTGCAGCATCCGGCAAGTTCTGGAGGAGGGTAAACACACGGCCAAGAAAGCTGATCAAGAACTCGGCGAAGCCAGCAGTCGACGAACGCAGGATTGCATCCTCGTCGTCATCAGACAGCTCTGACGAGTAGTCAACCTCGAGCGCTGGACCGGCTTCCTCGAATCGAGCGACCTGGGCAGTGATCCACTCTACGGCGAGTCCAGTGCCGGCGCTCGCAGCTGGCGTTGATACGGCATCATGGTCAACCACCTCGAAGTCTCCACTGAGGTCACTTTTCTCACGTTTCAATTCTTTTGTGAGGTCCACGAGCGGAATATTGTAACACACCGCTTGAATGAAAGCCAAGCTGTGCATGGTCTTGTCCAGGTCGTTGGCATCGATGCCGGGAAGTGCCAGGCCGAGCAGCGTGGTGAGGTGACATCGGAAGCCCTTCGTTCTCGATATGGTCTTGCTCAGCATTTGTAGAGCACGAATGGAAGAAATGGTGCGATGCACTTCCACCAGGCCTTGCATGGCCGGGTAGATCCTTTGTAATGCTCCCGGCAAGATGAGCGTGGGCTCCAGGTAGGCCAAACCTTGCAAAGTGCTGAGAGCATAATTCATCGCCGTCCCGCTCTTTGCGTAGATTCCCATGAAGACCACCTCTCGGAGGCAAAGTACGAATCGGCGCTTGACATTGTCGTCAAGTCTTCGATCCATGGGAACTTCGTACTCGCCACTCTGCTCGCGATTCCAGCGCATGACGAAGAAGTCGGCCAGGTAATAGACGAGTTGGGCCAAGGGCTTGGTCCACCCACCGGAGTTTGAGGGATGGAAGAAGGTTTCAATGCCTTGGATGAGGGCTTCCAGCTGATGCAAGACCGACTTTCCTTCGGCGGCGTCCAAGCACTGCGGCGAGATTGACATGACGATCCACCTCGCAATGCTGTGGCTGACTGGATGCTTTCGCGCATCGCGCTCGAGCAACATGCCGTTGCCTGCACCAAGATCCACAGTGCCACTGTATGGAGTGGTGGCCTGGCCCACGGGAATTTCAAGCAGCCTGAGTACGGCGGTGAAGACGAGGGAGGATTGTTCTTCAGTGAAGAGGCCACACGGCCCAAAGGGGAGATGCTCCGCGCCAAGACCATCCCTCGCCTGCCTTGAGAAGATGTCCAAGAAGCGCATGTCGACCATCATAGATCGATTCACCGTCGACCAGAGGTGGAAAAACGTGGGAAGGTAGTATTGTGGCTGAAGCGTTGGGTGATCGGGCGGGGGTGGTGAGGTCGGAAGCATGAGGTTCAACAGGCCGATGACGACAAAGGCATGTTCTGAGAATGACATGCTGTAGAAAGGTAGGAATTCTTCGAGCATGGCCGGAATCTCCGTTGGGTCGAAGAATAACTGCGCAAATGTAGCCAGCTTGGTCAGAGTCCTGATGTTACGTTTGCTGCTGTACGTATTCTGCGTGCTGCTTTCGGATGGGAGGACGAAGATCTTCAACTCCTTGTACAACGGCCGCCAGTCCAGCGTCAAGTCCTTCCCGGGGCGCAGGTACTGCTTTCGTTTTGTGAGAATCATAAACATGCTGGCGAACCTTTCGGCCACGCTGTATTCTAGACCGGGTGCCAGCGCGAGCTCGTAGTATAATTTGACCAGGGATATGCGCTGCTTCCTCGTCAGGTCGAACTTCAGGCTCATGCAGCCTCGGATCTCTTTTGTCCAGTGCACCGCGCCGGGGGTAAAGTCCCCTGCGGCTACGGCGATGTAGAGATGCTTGATCATCTCATCCATGTCCTGTTCTCTCCGTTCGCGAGTCTCGGTGTCGTACGGGAGGTATCTGGCGTAGGGAAAGACCCGTGGCCGCGTGCGGCCTACCTCGGCCGAGCCGTTGTCGGCATCGTTGTCGCCTGTACCAGCACGGTCTCCGCCACCGCCGGGGGATGTGGCGCGCGAGGCATCGTGGGGATCTGCCTGAGCATGAATCGCGCGGAGGACATCGGGCATGCGGTCATGCGCGGCGCCATCTCTTGCCATGGTGCTGAAGCTGCGCAATCATGCGCCGATGGGCATGAGAGAAGGAGGGCGGCGAGCTCGTGCTCTCTGACCTTCTCATGCAGAAGTGAAGCCTCGTGGGAAAGGATGGGAGCTTAGCCAGGCATCACACGACAATGTGCATCCACCTCTTGTGCCCGACAAAGGTTCGTTGGGCGCTGCGGCGGTGAGGAGATTGGGGGAAAGCAGCTGCGATCAAGATGAAGCACAGAGTTTTCCGAAAGTCGGGTCGATGGTGTTCGAGATGCTTCGGTTTGGGACGTTTGCGTCGTTGTCCGCGAGGTTGCCTTGACCGAAACAATAGTGCATGTGGTGACCTCAAAGGCGCTGCAACTCGGAGCTAGTTCGGTGACTAAGCGGCCAGGCCTTTCCCAGTTTGAGGATGGCGTGGAACTCACGCGACACGCACTTGCTTCTTGACTCCGCAGGGACTAGGCGGTAGTGAATGTTGGGGACGACTGGAGCGAAGAGAAAGAGATCGACACGAGAAGCGAGTGAGGACTGCGGAAGATTAAGTAGTTTATGGCATGCGCGAGCTGACGGTGGCGGCGCTCCTGGTGAGGCAAACACCTTTACGCAACCCCGGTGGCGCCTAGCACGCGCCGACTCCCCGACCATCCATCCCACTCTCTCCGGCCGCCGCCCAAAGAATTAGCACGTGGGCGTGAACCCTCCAGCGGGTAAACAGAGATATGGTGAGAATCATCTCGTGCTCATCCCGAACAGTTCGCATTCGTGCTGACCGCCCGCAAGGCCTATTACAGCCCAGACGCAATCTTGACGGATGCGCAAAAGACGCCGGTTACCTTTGAAATGGCTGTGCCCCAGCTGTTCTCCATAAACAACGGGTCGGCGATCCAGCAGGGTACCAAACTCGACCTCCCACTGTGGATGGCAGAGATGCTGGCAGTATCGAGGCCCGCTGGTCCAGACTCCGCCCCGCTGGGTTCGCTGGACCTGCCACCTCCCTTGGGTCCAAGAGTGATGAACGCGCTGCGAGCAGACCCCAAATCGGTGGATGTCAGAGCACAGGCGCAATGGTTCTACGGCATAGGAG